TCTCAAATACACGCACACACTCTCTCCTACCGCCACCTTCTTTCACCTCCAGCTGTCTATTTTCATAACTTCACATCTTGTTTTGCACACAGCCATAATTCTATTCTCATAGCACTCTCAGCTCCTGTGATCCTGTGCATTTGTGTGTGCATGGACGTGCCTGTGTGTGTGCACCCAGTGTGTTGGTGACACCAGGTTTGCCACGTTGACTCACCTCTTAATTATCCAACAGTATGAATGCCACCTCTCTGGAAAATGTTCAGCTCTCATTAACAACGGTGTTATCACACTAATGTGCCACGGTGGGGAAAGCACTTTTTTTTTCTCTTTGTTGCAGGGACCTGAGTGATATATGTGGGGGTGGGGTGGGGGCGAGGGGTTCGTCAGAAGGTGGAGGGAGGTGGATGGTATTGCATGTCTCACCAGCAGCTAACACGTGTCTAATTTTTAAGTGTCGAAGCCCTCGGCTGTGTCACTTGGGTGTCGTTTTGAAGGTGGAAACTGGATTGTGACATGTTTGGATTCTGCGCCCAAATTGTAAGTCATTAGATCCATTAGATTGAACCTGAGCTTCCGCTGTAAATTATAAGTAATGCCCGCGACACTTCATGTGATCTTATGAGCTTTGGATGGTGGAATTTTGTTAAAACCAATAGCATTCTCTCTCTAGCAGTCTGCATCTCAGGTTCGCTTGTGATTAATCTGAACCAACAGAGGGTTGTCAAATGGGACTGTTTTTTATTGCCAATTGCTGTCTGCAAAGACACACACTTACTCTCACACTCGGCACACACACACGTTATGATTACATCAGGTTAAACTAGCTCGTTTATCATCTTACATCACATTACCTTGTGGCCCATAGTTGTAGAGGGCAGATGGCAGCACTGGCGTGATTGTGTGTGTGTGTGTTGCGTGCACTCGCTCGCGTGCACACGTCTGTGTATGTAGGCGCCCGCACTCGGTCTCCGGAGGTGTAACCCAGCTCGGCATGCCAAGCTGTGCCAAGTGCTCACAGCTGGCAGCGACCAAGCAGTTGGTCTCTCTGGACAAGTTGCCCCCTGCGCCAGGACAAACAGGAAATAAACCCTGGGGCCTGGCAGGAAACTGGCGCTGTGGCCAATAGGAAGAGGGGTGAGGAAGGGAGACGGGTGGGGGTGGAGAACAGCTTGGAGAGGCAGGGTAGCAAGAGCAAGAGAAGAGATGTCAAATGGCTGTATAGGAGACAAGGGAGGAGGGAGAATAGAGAGGAAAAGCATTGATGTACCAAAAACAAGAACACTATCAGCAAGGTCTAGGTATTAAGAGGAGTGGTGTATTGATGGTTGATACGAAGTGGCAGAGTGGAAATGATGTCAAGAGAACAAAAGTTCACCTCAAATTTGACTTGTTGGAGAAAGTTTGGATTCTTAAATTAAATATTCCCCTCTGTAAATACAGGATTTGGTTCTGATGATGATTCTCACTTCGCAGCAAACAATCACTGCTCTGTAATCAGTTTGATTGTTTGTGTGTGCGTTTGTGTGTGTGTAGGTGTGTGTAGGTGTGTGTGTGTGCGTTGTGCGTTTGCGTTTGTGTGTGTGTGTGTGTGTGTGTGTGTGTGTGTGCGTTTGTGTGTGTGTAGGTGTGTGTAGGTGTGTGTGTGTGTGTGTAGGTGTGTGTGTGTAGGTGTGTGTGATGTGTGATGCTCCTTGGCTGTACCATCAAGTCTGTGGTCTGTGTACGCTGGGCTCTTCTGCCAATTTGATCACAAAATGCCTGTCTTCAGAGGCCTGTGCATGTCTGTCTGTTCACAGACATGAATGTTTGTGTGTCTTCGACAGTTGGCTGTATCAGACTAGTTCTCTTCTCCCACTGAGGTCAGACCAGACCTGCTTTCTCTACCTGAGAATTTAATTTGGTAAAAATATTATTTTGGAGAGACACACCTCACACAGAAGTAAAGCCACCGAGACTCCCATTCTCTGATGCAAGGCTCACTGAAGCTTGAACTTCCACAAATTCCCCTGGCTCTTATTTGTGAAGCATTTCTACTGAGACACGGATCATGTCCCAGACATGTATTGTCAGATGGTCCTTAGTGTGTAGGCTGTGCTCCAAAAGTAATCACCAAGAGAGTGTCTTGAAGGAAATTCTACTGAGGCATGGATCTAGTGAAAGTAATTAGCAATTTCTTCCTTTGAAGGCAGGTCAACTGAGACCCACAGTCTGTGGAGGCATTCAAGGTGGCCTAATGGTGCCTTTCTTTTGGTTATTTATGTTACCAAAACACTGAAGATTGAAGGTGGATCAAGTGATTTATGAAAATTAAATTCAACAACAGGTTGTTGAATCATCAGACATTCGCCACACAGCTTTGATTCTTTTATCCTTTCCACAGTGAAGAGAAAGAGCTGTCTGGACTACCTGCCCAATGACTAATGACCTGAGCTTTGACTGTTTTTAAGTACTCATCCGTGTAAAGCTGGTTATTGGCGTTAGCATCAGTTCCAGCAGCGATCACAGGGGGCACTGTGGCCTTATGATCCAGCCACACTGAGTGCAGGCCCTCGCACTACCTCTCCTCCTCTTAGCCCCTTCCTCCTGTGTGTCCTTGTTATTGTGATGAGCTATGCCCAATTCCAGTACAACCACTGGACTCCTGGAAGCCGTCCCTTCTAATCTGCTCCAGAGTCAAGGTTTAGGTTTTGGAACTGAGCTCGACAGCAAAGGCTTTTTTCCCACGACAAAGACTGATTTGAGACTTTGGGATACTCAGGGTCTCCCAGAACAGCGGAGCGGCGGCGCTCTCTCCAGCTTGTTAATCAGCAACGACACCACGCGATTTGCCAGTCAGCCTGTTTACAATTAATCTTTTCAACTACAAATTTAATGCCATCGCTGGTGCCCGCAGCCGCCGCGTCCCAGAGAGCCGGCTGTATTCATGCGTTGTCATTATCTTCTGCATCAATATAGAGGAACTATCAAATTAAATACTGACTTCAAATTGGTCAGATGGTGTCCTCTTTTGTTTCTGCAGTGTTATAACAGCTGCTCCAAAACCACATTTAGCTTTAGTTGATTGTGGTTGACTTCTGCTTGTGGCCTCAATTTAAGATGAAGAGAAATATTGTGAGTTTTCATCTCATCAGCCGTCTCTGACTCACAGTATTTGTCGGTGGATGACCTCTTCCTCCCTGGGTATGTTCATACTTTTTCCTGCAACCTGATTTCTTTTTAGATCTCATTCCGAGAAATTGGACTTCCTGAGATTATATCTGTATGTTTGCACTAATAATGGCTGTTATGTGTGGCCTGCGGCTATATTACATTTTCCTTTTCGCATTGCTCGTGGTTAGTATGAACTGTACTGACATCTAATCATAATCCGGCCCCCTGACCACTTCCATATCTGGTATTAAAGATCTGGTAACTATGTGAACAAAATTAGATTTGTTTTTGTGCCGTGTGGACACACATTGATCTGTCCGGGTGTGATAGGATGAAAGGTGTCACTGAGAGAAGGAACCATAGCCTCTCTGTCCGGTTTCCATCCGTCTGTACCTGACTTCAAGCAGACAAGACAATGATGAGAGCGCCCGCATGGCAAGGTGTCGAATGAGTGCACACACACACACACACTCACACACTCACACTCACACTCACACACACACACACGCTCATACAGCCTAGTTGTTAATGGCTTTGTTGTCGTGGCCCTCTGCCAGCTCCCTGTCTGTCTGTCTGTCAGACTGAGCATGCTCATTACAACCTTGACAACATTCCACTGGGGTTGCCAAGGATACCAAGCAGAGCTGCCAGGTCCTGTGTGTGCGTGTGTGTGTGTGTGAGGGAGAGTGTGTATTAGGAATGCACAAACTCACACAAATACCTCCACCAAACTCAACACATTTTTAGTAATATGACCACACACACACACACACACACACGAGCACACACGCACACACACACACACGTTCGGTTCCTCTGTTTCTCTCTGTCCCCCGCTCTCCCTTTTCTTTCTCTCTCTAGATCATTGTTAATCAGTCTCGTCCCATCTTCTCTCCACTGGCTGTCAGTGGCTTGTCAGAAGCCCGTCAAAGCCCCTGCAGTCCGTCACACGCTGCTGCCGTTAATGACATCTGATGACACCCATCGTTGAAGTCACCCGCTGGAGATGACTGGGAACTCAGTGTGCTCACTGCTTTTAAATTGTTTCTTCTGTGCAGCCTGCAGTGTGTTTTTAGGATATGTCCAGACCTAATTCGGCTGCATTTATTTACATACGCTCAAACCTACAGCCCACCTTACTTTCACTCTTTAAAACAAACTTCAAAAATCTAATTCAAAATCATAGAAATATAGTAAAGATCAGATAAAAGATTACATACAGAGAATAAAGACAACTCTTTAAAACTTAGTGACAGGATTTAAAGTAGTAATTAACCTCAGTTAAGTTAAAATGGAATGGAACAGAAGTTGCTGAAAATCTTTTGTTTTTCCCTAGAAAATGCGTTCACCTTGTCTGCAATATAGAAACGACATATTATGCTGTGTGCGAGGAGACTGTGTGACATTTTCTAAATGTTCAAAGTAGCCATGGAAAAAGGTTGAACTGCTGTTTTTAAAAGATGATAATCACTTGGCTGCTCTATTTGTCCGCGTTTTGCTTTCTTCCCACACATTCAACTGCTACACCGCCTCCATCGCTTCATTTCTCCTTCATTCCCCTGTTCCAATTTGTCAGCATCTTAATTCTTTTCCATACATCTCTTTCATAACCCACCTCCCTTAACTCTCCCCATTGAATATGTCCTCCTTCTGCATCTATGCCTTTCTTGTTCCCCTGTCTGAGTGGTGGGCCTCTGCTTTGTCTGTAGACCTGAATTGCTCTTTCTTTTCTATATTTTTTTTGTCTCTACTTCCACCTGTTTTTAACTTTCCCATCTTCTTTCACCCGTCTCGCTGTCCTTGCACTGCCTATTTCTCACTCTCTCTCTGTTCTCCTTTCTCTTCTCTAGAGGAAGAAGTGGAAAACTTTGACGTGTCCAGTCTCAAGGAAGAGGCTCTGAGGAACATTGAGGCTGACAGCTTCTGGTGCATGAGCAAACTGCTGGACGGCATCCAGGTAAGCATGTGTGTACGTGTGAAGAGATGTAGGTTGTCTTAGACCAAACTCAAAACACCCACATATGGTTTTGTACTTTCATACCAACATACTGTACACACTCCCACTGTCTCCCTTCTTGATGCAGGCTGTCCGTGGCTCTCCTCTACTTGTACATTTCTTTTACTCTCTTCCATCCTCTTAGTTTTTTGTGGATCCATGCTTCTCGGATCTTGTCTTAATAACAAACATTATTATTGCTTCAAACGTCTGCCATTTGTTACATATCTGCGGCAGTTTGGGCATCATTCAAGTTACATGTCAAAAAGCATTTACTTTGTGCTTTATCAGGGTCTCTTTGGCTTGCTAGACATTGAACGCAACGTAACAAGTGCAAGTGCATGCTTTGTGTCTGCTGTATCAAAGGCCACACACCCAGGTGCATATTCACCTTGCCATATATATTCAAGTTATACACAATACCACTGACTTATGGGATATGTTGCGTGAGGAGATCCAGTACCACATGTAGGCTACATCCTCCTACAACTGCACACTTCTGGTTGCACCTGATCGGATAAACGAACGCTGCTCTGAGACTTCAGAATGGACCAGCATGCCATGCAGTTGCTGAATCTGTCTTCATTCTAGATTGACAACGGTTTGTTCAAAGGTGTTTTTTCGTGAGTTCCCCGAGGCGGTGAGTCGTGCTGCTGGACGCCCCTGATTTTCATAAATAGCCTAGACCTCTGCTTAATGAAAATGAGGAGCAGCCAACGTGACACCCCGTCTCTGCCAGAATGCATTGCACAGCTGCTAACATGGACAACGGATGGAAAGCGTGTAAATGACTGATTCTGTGGACATGCACCTTCACAGAGACTGAATGTACTCATGTTGCATAGGTATATTTATGCCCTAAGTGCTTGTAAAGAGTGTGTGAATGCAGATGTGGGTATAAGCTCAGCTTCATTCATTGTTCACTGACGGTGCCATAATGCGAAATTTAACAAAATAGGTATTGAGACCTTCAGTATCAAATAATAGATTTGGTCTTGTAGGAAATGTGTCATAACATGGCAACAATTACTGACAATAATTAGGAGTTTTACAACATAATTGTAGTCATCATCAAGTGCTAAGCACCTGTGTTTTTCCATTGAGGAGTATTTAATGCACAACCTAGCTATGGATGATCAATTGTATTCACAGTGTTGAATGTTACAGTGCTAAGATGGTCTGGTGTTCTTGTCTGTTGGTAAAGCCTGCAGGACCTCTCTAACATTGTGAGCGTTATGTATAAAACAGCTTTTCTGTTTGGGTTTAAGAAATGTGATTGTCTTGCATATTCTAAAGCAGGACAGAGTGTCTGGAGACCAGATAATTGCGTACAGAAAGCAGCACCAAACTTCATTTTGTTTCATCATTTCTTCCCAAAACCCTTTTGCCCGCTATCCTTCTTAATCGACCTCGCTCTCAGCGGTCATGGTTGAGCCATCTGTCAGTTCTAAACGTGCCTCCCTGTGCTGGCCGTCAGCAGTACCACTGTTACTACCAAACAATGTTTTCAACATATCTGTCTATGCTGGATTAAAGCAACCATTCTTAGGCCAATCAAGCAGTTTCTACATTTGTGGAAGCTATTAGTGCTATCAGGAAGTGTGGAAAACCTTGTTTCTCATCATACAACATCAACATTTTTGCCACATTTTAGTAACTTTTGTCTGTTTATAATACCAAAGGTCTGTTTGGTTCTAACAGGTATGGCCCAGGTATTACTAGTTGTTTCTGTTACCATATTTTAGTGCAGCTACTCTAATCATTGTTTCCTGGCACAGTCAAGGCAGCATCTGCCAAGCCTGCCCAGTCAGGTCAATGACCCTAATCTAAAGCAACACTTAAGAGAATGGCCACAGCAGTTAGGCTTTAAATGTATTGATTAGGCAATATGCTTATTGTTGTATGAAACTGAATGTTTAAGGCGTAAAAGAAACACCCTATATCTTGATTGCGAAGTGAAGCTACCATTAGGGGCGACCTTAATGAAAGAGGGTTCTGTTTTTATAAGATCATTTCGGTTTGTTTACATCGTTTAAAACATTAAAAATATACTTATTATCGTCAAATTTAATATATATCGCAGAGCCCTACCCTAAAGGTAATTAATAGTAAAGAGCATGTGTGGTGCATAAAATGGGAACGTTCATAAATAACTATCAATTGGTTAGGCTATTCATTTAGGAAATTAATAGACGCTGTGCCTTGTTGCCCCTGAGAGAGCAAGACAGAGAGAACGCAGAGCTTGAGAGCTGAGGAAGAATAGAGTGTGCGTCTTTGTGTATGCTTTTCTATGTGTATGGATGTTGTTTGTCCCCCGTGCTTGTGTTTGTTTGTGACCTTGGCTCCAAACTAATTACGTGCAATGCACCAGGGAAGCCCATGTTTCCCCCCTAATGCTTTCTAAACAATCTGACGGAGGCTGAGTGCCTCAGCACCGTAATTAGTTGGTGATCCTTGCTCTGACCTCGTCTCAAACCCTCTCACATCCACTATACACTATTACACTTAACTGAGGGCCTAAAGGTGGGGGTCCGGGGGTTAGAGAGACAGAGAGTCTCTCCATGCAATTACATTTGCTCACTTCTTCTAAGCACCGCATATATATATATATATATATATATATGTGCAGTATTTGCTCTGGAACTGGTGCCACACTGGTGTCCACTTGTTTTGGACCAATTTGTGTAAAATATTCCAAGCAGTTTAATTGCATCACAGTGCAGAACAAACTCATAAATGGGAGGTTTAAAAACCACTACATGGTTGGGAACTTTTGTAAAGAAAAAATGTACTCTTTCCCATCCATCTCTGAACCACAGCTGGTGTGGTTTTCCTGCAATTACCTGGTGTACAGAGGAAATACTTTTGAAAGTTTATTTCTTATATTTTAATACAGTAAATTGGCCATTAGCTCTGTTTTCAGTGTTTCACTGCCATGCTTTTCTCCCACCTAAAAGTGAACGGGCTATTTTGGCTGTCAATTCACTTAAGCAGCTACTCTAATGAGCGGCTGCTTTAATTGGCTACACTGCAGCCCCCACCTCCAAAGGAGCAGGCTGGGGATAAAAGGTAGGTTAGAGAGATCAGTCGATTCCAGGCAAGTCTAATGTCTGTGTTCGCAAAATCTAAATGACTTGTACTAATGTCTTGTATAGGAGGATGTTTTATTTTGTCAGCAAACTGAATTTTCCAGTTAATCTTCAAAACCACTAAAATGTTTGGATGCCCCCTTTAATGCCTGGCGACTGTAAGAGCAACATTTTGCGTGTGTATTATTGATGTAATTAAAGCTGTTGTCTAGGCAGGCATCCAAGCCTAAACACCCATACCAGAACAACATGTTGCATTGCTTTAGCAGACAGTGAGTGACAGTTTCAGGGGTAAATAAGTGAAAACAGTCATTCTTCTGTCCTGACATGACCTTTAATGCACTGTTAAATTGACAGAGCTGTGTGTGTGTGTGGGTATGTGTGGGTATGTGTGTATGTGTGTGTGTGTATGTATGTGTGTGTGGGGGGGGTGTGGGGGTGTGTGGGGGTGTGGGTGGGGGTGGGTGTGGGGGGTGTGGGTGTGGGTGTGGGTGTGGGTGGTGTGTGTGTGCGCGTGTGCAACAGCATCAACAAGATAACACCACACAGCTCTCCATAACCCATTTCCACATCAAACAGGCTGCACAATGTGGCCATATCTAGGTCTGACATGATCAAAAAACATGGCTGAGCTACCAGACTCGAAAGGGGTAAATGAGTCATGTTTAAATGGGCCAGTATTGTTTATGGTTATCCAGCCATGTAATCCATTGAAGGGCTTTTAAGCATGACTCTACCTTTAAACTGATAAATTACATAAAATGAATGGACACAAAAGTAAATTAAATTTCTACAGATCAGTACATTTCTCCATTTGAGACACAACTCTGTTAAGTTGACCCCAATGTTACCCCAGTCTCTCCAGCAGCCAATTAGTCTTTCACTGTGCTAAATTTGACAGCGCCTCTGGCTAACGTGACTAATTTAACTTGTTAAAACGGCTCCATATCTGCCGTTTCCATGAATTTAAATGGACCTGTCATCTCTGCCCAATATTGTGTTGTTGATTTAAACATGTCTCGTTAATACTCAAACCATAATGTGTTATTAAGGTCCACAATAAAAAGAGTCAGTCAAAGCGTCAGTAATTTAATCTTTGTCACATTTTACAGGTATAGACAGTGACAGTGCTCACACCTGCTGCACTCAGTATACAGCAGCTATGTGCTGTTCACGCGCAGCCACTCTGTCTGTGTCTTACCCACCATGCCCAGAGAGGGAAATGAAGTCAAAAAGTTTAAGAAGTCCATTATTCCACCAGCACCCCCTGAGGGCTCTCAGTTTTAAAGCCTGCAGATGAAAACCTTCCTTTTATGTTAATTCTGCGGATATGCCTTTTACAGCAGGGGCTCTTAAATATATTTTTCCAGTCCAAGACTTAACTTTGAGAAATGTAATTTCGCCCTGGGATCTGAACTTATTATATTTCAACGGTAGTCTTGACACATGGAGGTCCAACATGAAAATGTCTCTGACCCTTTTTGGGTTTGATTGCGATGGTTTTGACGTACTAGTCTGTGGCATGATGAAAAAGTTTTAATTATTCATCGGACACAGTTGTAGCTTTTAATTTAACTTATTCTTATTTATAGCCGCCGAACATGGAGGATATTTATATTCATTCAGTTTTTTCCAGCAATTTTTTAAAACTTTTTGGCTGGAAAGTTTTAACAGATGACCTATAATAATGTAATAAAAAAGAATAATGTTTTGCATGTTTTCAATACTGTATGTATTGAATCAGGTCAGGTACTTCTAAAGTTGAGGTGCCCCAGAAAAAAGGCTGAAAAGATCAGCTATTTTGACAGAAAATTAAATCACTAGCTTGTCTCACATGAACCGTCCTCCAGTTAAATCGGCAACAAAATTAAT